ATCCTTGGAAAACTTAAAATTTTAATAAATCAGGAACGCAGTCAACTGCAAAATTGAAACCTTTTGTGGATATCAGAGACATAGAGAAGAAAGACAGAAAAAATTTTGAACTCTTAATTCCTTTTCTTGAAAGAGTTATAAAATTTTTAATTTTCTCCCGTTTCACTAGGTAAAAAGCGAAAAAGTTCTATAACTTTTGAAAGAAGCAACCAGAGCCGAAATCCTTTTATGATTTTTACTAGGTCACTATCCTCTATCGATCGACATACAAATGATTGAAATCGAATGGAGGCATCTGAAGAGGTTCCCTCGTAAGCAGCACATAACGAACCATTGTTGTAATTTTTATAAATATAAAACTGGTAAGAATGTTTTCTTTTTTTCATTCACTCAGGAATAAAAACTATTATTAGCACAAAAAATTATTGTAGAAAAAACGCAATTAAACTGAGTGATAAATAGTGAAAACAAATATGTACACTCAAAATATAATTAGGAAAATAGTCATTTGTGTAATATAAGTTTTATACATATTATTAACAAAAAACAAAAGATAAAAGACAAAAATTAAAACTATGATTGATCGTTTATTGCACAAAAACAACACGTGAGAAAGTAGAGTAGTACTGTTGATCGAGAGTTCATTCTGATCGAAAGTCAACAATAGACTGTGAGCACCTTTCTGATCATAAAAATATAAAAGTAAACTTCATCAAAAAAATAATAGAAAAAGAAAAGTCATTTGTATCTATTCTGATAAAACAACTCTCATGCATTATAGAAAAATAACAACAACTATGATATGAGAAAAATTGTTCAATTTGAGCACAAAAAATCAAATCACAAAAATCAAAAAACTAAAAAAGGTTTTTAGATCAACAGTATTCTGAAATTTCAAAATCAGTCCAAATTGGACAATGATTGGAGACAAGTCCACCCCAGTCCCAGCCGTTTGGAATCCATGGACTTGTTAAATTATCACGAATAACACCAAAATTATCTAAATAGTGAGTGACATTAAAAGAATACATATTAGAGCCATGCTGTTTAAATATGTTATAAATCCAGTTCAATAGGTATTGAAGAAAAGAGCATTTTCATCTGAATGGATAGCTGACACATTGCCACAAATAAGTACAATTGTCCAAAATTATTCATTATACCCCGAAAATGAACATTCCAACAATGAAATACCATCAGATCAAAGTTTTAGAAAAGCTGGATTTTTTCTGAAACTGTTCTATAAGACTTTCGTCTCAAAACATTCGGAATTTGCAAAATAAAAGAGAATGAAACTGGAAATAAAAAGCAAAGAACTATTCTTTTATGTTAATATGCTCAGAAGAAGATTATAGACAGAGGTAGTCGTCAAAGACCAATCTCTAGAGACAAGCCAAGTTTAGGTAAACTCAAATCGATACCTATGAAATACGAAGAATTACGCTAATATTTATGTTGCTCAGATTATGCCGAGACTTGAATGCTCAATTAAGTTTGAGAGTTGCCTGTAGACATGCCATATGTTTCCATTTGAGCACAATCTGATACGGTAAGGTTGTAGAGCATGTTGAGTCAATTCAATAAATAAGTTTTCAGAGATAACGAACATGGTCTCATGGAGTGAAACGCTTTCCAAGAAAGATAAAACAGTTTAAAATTATCAGTGGAATAAAAAAAATATTTTATTTTTACCTCTGCGAAATCAACCTGAGAAGAATCCTTTCTAAGACATCTTACTACCTATATGATTCATTATCGATGGAAAAAAAAGAAATCCGCCACAAGTTGTTTACTTGTATGAAATTGTTTTACTTCTGTAGACAGCCACATATTATCAACACATGTGGAACCATTTGGTGTTTGATTACTTATATTTGTATTAGCATTTGTCAAATAAGAAAAACCATGTGTAATTAACGGTTTGAATTCTAAAAAAAATAAAATAAATATACTTTTCGAACAAAATGAAGGTGTCTCTTACCTTCTGATTCTGGACTTTGATTAAAATCACCAAAAATAATCACCCGTTTCTGCTCTACAATACTTAAAATCAATAATATTTTCACTGAAATAAACGAATGAATCTTACCTATTGTATCCTTCATTGCTTCGGCCATTGCAGATAACGATAATGCTTTATCTACTGTTTTGACATTGCCTTCTTCATCAAGATGTGTGGCTTTCAAATGTACATTTACAAGTGCAATTTCAATATTGTGAATCTTATATTAAACGAAAACATTAATATAGTTACTATCTGCTTTTTGCATGTCATTCTTACTTTATAAACAGCAATATAGGGTAAATGAGTAAAGTGATCTTTAAGTGGAAATAACGATGCCTTTTTCAATGTTATATTATATGATTCATCGTAAATGTAACCGAGATATTCATTTCCCTAGAGAATATATAGTGATGTAAAAAGAAATACTAGCTTGTATATCCAAATGATTTTACCTGACGCATTTCTCCGCATGAATCACTAGTGGTATGTTTCCATTTACCAGGTTTGCCCATCCATTCTTTGACTAACGATAATGATGGATTATTTAGTTCATCAATAATTAAATCAAGAGCGTCTTTATGACCAATCTCTTGTATTCCAATCAAATTTATACTAAAAATATAACAGATGATTAACTGATGAATATATACAGTACATTGGTAACAGTAGACTTCATGTCTGTGCAACTTCGCATTCAAAATCTTGACTCTAATTCTGTTTCAACTTTGCCTTGAAGCTTATTTGTTCTGTTGTATGACGATTAGCTTTTAACAAAAAATAAGCCGTGAAAAATTATGAGAAAAGAAGAAAAAAATCCAATGTTTGGATATCATCCCTCACCGGATAATTGAAAAGTCAATTTTAACTCACCTCTCGTTTTAATAAAAAGAGACATAGCACTAGAATTCACTGCAACTCTAGAATGGGGACTGTACAACTTTGATAGTTTTACTTACAGGCTTTTATGATTATCCGAGAGGAGATCCTTATTTTTTTGGAATAACCAAGATAGTCAGGGCCGCAAATAGGAGCAGAATATTAAGGAGGTGTAAAACAAAATTTCTCTTTGAGGTAGTATGAAATTGATAAAATAAGTCTTTGTGCGAGGAATAATGGATAAAATAACAACAGCTTTTTCAACTATTCGGGAGGGTGTACATCCTTCCACACTCTCCTGTTATTTGCGCCCCTGACGATAGGCAAACTGTATTATTCTATGAATTATGATCATTCTACTAGTCAATCAAAAACTCTTTTCCATCTGACTTATTTTCGCATTCTTTCTCGTCATAAATGCTATATATTTGAGACAGATTAACAACATACTTATATTCTAATATTGTTCTACAAATAACTTCGCGTACACCAGGATTTTTAACTTTATCTAAATTTAACTGTTGCAAGTTCCATGATGCGAAACGTACGTTAGATTCGACATTTATCTGGCATATGCCTAGTAATAGTTTTCGTTCCAATAATGGATTTGTATAAGAAAGCAGCATTGCATGAATTTCAGATGGTAGCATGTCATACAATAGAGCCGCAATTGATAATGAGTCACTGTTACTTTTTTTTCGATTTAACATTGAATTTAAATTATTGTTATCATCGGCAGATGAACTGAGACCATCCGGTACGGTTATCACACTACCATGTTTTGTATCCGTACCATTCTTATTATGATTTGTGCACTCGTAACATTTATCATCAGACTCATTGACTTGTTGATGATCAACTGTTACATGCGGTCTAATAGAATCTAATACCATGTAATTAAAACCTTTTATTTTTAACATATCTTCGACAAACTGGAATGGTCCTTTCTTTTCTCGTTGTCGAATTATTCGTTCGGCTAATTTCTGTTCTAAACCGGGTATTGTTCGAAGTTCGTCAAGTGTAGCGCTATTTATATTTACACGTTCATTGTTATGTGTAGCAGTTGTACCAGTTTGTGGTATCGATGGTGTCATGATTGTAGATGACTTCGAGTTTAAGTGCAAATTATCCGATTCAGGAGGATTTTCAATACAGATGTCAGCGGAAATGATGGCGAATACATCAGCATTAATACCATTTACTAAATAGACGAAAAAGAATAAGAATATCAGATAAAATTCAGCATGTCACACAGTTTCCATACCACATGGACAAAGTTCACAAATATTTTTACCTAAGGCAACATCTTCTACATTTTTAAAGTTTCCGGTGGCTTGACGATGTTCGATTATATTTTGTGCTATACGACGATCGATTCCTGGGAGAAGCATTAGTTCCTCTTCATTCGCATGATTGATATTTAATCGATTTTCTTCTTCGTTATTTGACGCATTTTGAATGTTTTCTGTTGTGGCTATTGTTAAACTCTTCTTTGCATGTTTGGAGGAACAAGCGGCACTCAGACAACCGTGTTTGTTTCCCATATCACAAACGAGCGTGTTTTCGTGCATAAGCCATTATCGACTGAACGAACACTGCCATTAACCGAGTAAAGTCATAATCTGTAAACATGACTATTGGATCCTCTCATACAACTATGCTCACATTATTCAAAAATATAACTCGCCAGGATTTCACTTATTAGCTTTTGTAGTACTACATGAGAGAAGTAAAGCCTTATGGCTATAGTGTGGTGAAAATGCACTGAAACTTTTTCTTGTCGTAGATGAAGCGACATTCGTGGTTGCACGAATCAACTCATATTGTCTTTTCTTTTTAGAACAGCACTCTTTTAAGGGTACCCCCCTCTTTTTAGACCCTCTTGAAAACCAGGGACGCCGATGTCGGATCGGGGTGAAATTTATAGCAGAGATAGAACATCGAAAACGAAAATCGATATATTTTTGCACTGAATTTTGTGACATGTTCTTCTATTCTAGAAAACTCTGGTTTTCATCCAGTCACATTACGACCCTTCGAAAAAATGGTCCGATCGAGCTCAAAATTTTACCACAGATACTTTAAACCCTATCTCAGGTTATTTTTTTTCTTTTCAAAAAATATGCTTTCCTTCTCGAGATATCCCAAAAATGCTGAAAGTCACGCAAAAACAAGTTTTTTTGAACCTGAGATAGGGTTTAAAGTATCTGTGGTAAAATTTTGAGCTCGCTCGGACCATTTTTNTGTGACTGGATGAAAACCAGAGTTTTCTAGAATAGAAGAACATGTCACAAAATTCAGTGCAAAAATATATCGATTTTCGTTTTCGATGTTCTATCTCTGCTATAAATTTCACCCCGATCCGACATTGGCGTCCCCGGTTTTCAAGAGGATCAAAAAAGAATGGGGGAGTACCCTTAATGGAGGACTAGTTTCCGAAAGGAGGCATATATTAAATAAGAACAGTTACGTAGCGAAAATAGATTTTTGTTGATCACAAGTCTAAATCAGACTCGAAAACGTCTTCGACTCTACAAACATTATTGACAGGTTTTTGACAGCTTGAACGTCCGAAGAAGAAGGCCTAGACGAGAATGTGTTCCATATGACTTTTCAGGAGGACAATTAGTGGAAAGTTTTACTTCTCTCATCTAGTACTACAAAAGCTAATAAATAAAATCTTGGCGAGTTTTGTATAACAGGAGCAGGGCTGCCTGAAAGTACCTCGTTCCTGATCCTAATTATGATCTTATCAACCATAAGGTCAAAATTATCCGGTATTACTAGTGTCCACCTATAAATTTCATAAGACTATTTATAAAATTTTTCAAAGAGATATTTAGGATACTGAACACAAGATGCTTTATTTAAGATTGGTCTTGAAACTTCCGCACAACACTGATGTAATGGTCAGATGTTTCTCAGAAAACAAAGTTAAGTTTACGTCGTTTAAAAAGTGATTGACCTTAATATGCATAACTGCTTCTGGTACGTCTTTTATTCTGACTGTTTATCACACTTTTCTCGCACAATACATATCACAAATTATCACTAATTACTATCAATTTAGAAGAGATACTATACCAAATGCTAAAAGATAGAAGTTCATAGCAGGACTGCTTATGGACGTGCAAGAATATCCCTTTTTCGAACCCTCACCTAAAACTTTTCTCAGGTGCATGACTAACACGCTATCATACTATCACAGATTACGATACATTTTCAATTACTGGACTAGTTCTATTACACATTTAGATACACTTTTCAGATTTTACATCGAAATCTGAGTACCCTCTTGAAAACTCTTTTTAATCTTAGACGTCATCCCTTTCGACACACTAGAAATATTCTTAGAAATTGCTGCAGAAGAAGATAGCTTTCAGACTGTTTAATGTTATTTGCCTGAATAGTTTTTAGCTATAAGTGCTGATGGGTTTCAATTATGATGCGCAAAACGTTTTCGTTACATGCATACCTCGTTCATAACCAGTTTCAATGATTATCAAACGCAAGAATGCGTACGATATTAGGCTGCAACGACACCGTACTGACTCATCCATAGTCAAAACAAGAGAGTGATTATATCGTGAAATACTAAAGCGATTGGAAGAGTATTTTCTTTTGGAGTGTATTTGTTTAAATATAAAAGATAAATTAAGGAATGTAAATATGTATTAAAACGAATAACGTCGTTGTACCCTAATTGTAGTATGAAAACACCATGCGTCCTTACGACGTCTGTGCCCTTAAGTCAGTAAACTAGTTTTAATGTGTATAGTCTTCATCATTTCTTTTCGCCTTTTCAACAATAGTCTCTATGTGTTCAACGCTTGATTTAGTAATAGTAGTAAAATAATATTGTATAAATTGACTTCATCATTCAAGAAAATTAATTGTTTAGTATCAACCTTTATATTTATTTCTTCAGTTCTCTTTTTATTTATGAGAAATCTACATAAATACATAATTGATATCATTACGCAGACAGAATAATTATTACAGAACATGAACTTTATAATATTCAGTCAAAATTCTATGGTACGATATACAGATCACTCGTTAAATGCAAGATTTTTTTCCAAGGTGCATACAGAAGAAAAAGAAATTATCCGTACATTCTGTGATTCAAAGCGGGAATCTGTCCTCGCTAAAATTTGAGCAAAACACGGTATAGTAGCGATGTATTATAACGGCAGGATCCTATCAGATACCATCGTACAACGATGGTTTACTAACAGTTTATAAATATTTCTTTCCCACAAAGGGCAACAAATCTTAAACCAGTTGTTGCAAACAATCATATCCCAATGCATGAAAAGCAATGATATTTCTATGACATCATATCTCATATTATACTTCTAAGAATACGTAAATGAATCAAGGTTAATTTCGTCCCATATAATATTCAAAAACCTTATCAGGTCAGCCCTTATCAAGGCTAAAATTGTAAAACTCCTATACCCTTCATTTAATAGCTTAACTGAGCATACCTCATAAAAAATTAATTAATCTTTATGTTTCAGCATAATGATTCAACTCTGATTTATTTTGGAACCTTGATTATTTAGTTGCTAATAGCATTTCGTATAACATTTGCTTCGTTTAGTTGTAATTTAAGATGAATACTAGACCTACGGGACAGGGGTTAAAAAACCATCGAAAATCATAGGATTTCGAGTACATAACCCAAAGAGTAAAAAGCATATTCCGGCATGCCACTCTAAAATAGTGGACCGCTATTTTAGAATGGCAGAATGGCATTCCACAATTGACGTATTTTGGAATGGGTGCATTGACCTTATAGTGTTTTTTCCCCCTTGATATAACCTCAACTCCTCGCCACTATAGAGTTATGAAGAGGAGTTTCACAAAAACTAGTCTTTTACGATACAATCATGAATCAAACAAAAATCATTATATGTTGCTGATAGGGTAACAACAAACTTATTCTTATGAAAGACTTTAAAAAAGAAAAAAAACGTATTTGATCAGTCAATGATGAAAAATTCAAGAAACATCAGCAGGATAACAAGACATACAACTTACACAAACGACAATTTCATACCTTTTCTGTTTCATGAACCATGACTGTTTATTCTTTCTCTTGCATTTGTAGAAAAGAAGGTCAAGTCTGACATTGTTCTTCATCAAATTATTGTTTCACCTTCAAAGGGAGGGTAGTCATTATTCAATCTAATCTATAATTTATTTACTAAACATAGCACAAGAAATAAATGAAAAAGAATATCTAGTCCAGTAGTAAATACTTGAAACTAATTCAGATATACTGCGTTAAAGCCATTCAAGCGTTTCAGAATAAATACATTTGAAATAAAGGGTTTATCTAGTAGAAAAGATGGTTAGTCACTAACATAATATCTAGCAGTGGCAACTTTGAGACAAGCTGCTAATAAAGGGAAAAAGAAAAATCCACTTTTATAAACGAACAGCGCGTCTGACAGCTTTTTGCAGCATAACACTTAACTTCACCACAGTCGTAATAATAATATTTTTTATTTCGCTTGCTCGGTTAGACAACAATCTTTCCTTTCGCAAGTGTTGTATAGCGGCTGCGCCGTAAAGAATGGATCAGAATTATTTCCTTTTTTTTCGGCCAGTTCCCTATAATTTAGAGAATTCGATAGATAGAGAATTTTCTGCTCTACAAGACTGTCAAGTTGAATTTGTGACCAAAACATTTCTTCTGGAGTAATATTTAAAACATCACCACATACTCAATGTTCTCACTACGACGGGACATGAAGAACTTCCTCTTTAAAAAAAATGCTTCCGCTCATCAAACTGATCTGAGGCGCAGCTTATTTTAGATCAAACAATAAAAAATTTTCTCTTTTACCGACCTGATCGATTTTGGAACTTGGTGATCGAGTTTAATAAATCGTTAAAATTATTTTGTTGCGGTGTTTTTTTCCAGTAATTAAGACATTTCGAGCTTTTGAATAGAAACTTAATTTCAATTTTTTTTTATTTTGGCATTTGCAAAGAGAGAATGTAATTCCGAACCGGTTAATATGATTAGTGAGTTATACCTTGAAAATTTTTCAGAGAATATTTGTTGAAAAATGCACAGGGTCAGAGATCGGAACAGAAAGTTCAATTTTTTTCTCACTTAGGGCTCTTTTTTACGTGAGAATTCCTGCATGAGACTTTGCTCAAAAATAACGCTGCATACACCAGAAAAGGCAGAATTTAGCACAGAATTTTATGATATATTTGGAATTTTAGTAGAACATTTGTTTTTATGTTTGGCGGAAGGAGTTTTTTACTTTTTGGAGTGTCGCCGTAGGAACATTGAGTATGTGTTGATGTTTTAAATATTACTCTCGGAGAAATTTTTTGTTCCCAAATCCAACTTGACAGTCTTATAGAGTAGAGAATTCTCTATCAAATGAGCTTTGAACGAAGTCTCCAAATTATAAAGAATTGCCCGAATAGATGGAGATAATTTTGGCCTCTTCTTTACGGCCCACCCGTTAGTAAAGAACATTAATCATGATTTATAGTAGAACTGAAATTGTCTGGAAAGATATTTTTAATATGAATTAAGAAA